ATAGACAGCGTAATCCAACGACACGGCCGGGTCGGCCCACGGTCCCGAACGCTGGAGAACTTTGCGGGACAACGCTTCCGCATATCAATCAACCAGCGGAAAGAGATTTTTATTTCGTCCCGCCCCTCGAAATAAGAAGGGAGTGGGAAGGAGCAGACTCCTACACAACGACAGGGCAGGGGAACTAGGAGCCAGCGCCGGCAAACGAAACTGCCAAGACTTTTGATTTTTTTGTTATTATTTCTTATATTATTTTTTTTCATATTATTCATTACCCACTATTTCTTTCCTAGCATAAGTATTATTATCTATTATTAACCGAAATATATAATTAATAAACTAAGCTAAACGTTGGTTAGTGGGACCGATGACCTCTGGGGAGCAGTCAGGTACTATCACTAAGAACCAAGAATCAGCACCCAGAGTCAGGTACCATCACTAAGAACCAAGAACCAGCACCCAGAACCAGGAACCAGCAGCAAGAACCGAGAACCAGCACCAAGAACACGAAAGAGAAACACCGAGCGAACGAAAAGGGAGGATACGCTTAAGAGAGCGATAGGCGGGCCTAAGCAAAGAGAACGGAGCTGGCCGTCGGGAGAAGAGAGTCCTAGCCAAGCATAACTGGCACGCGTCAAAAATATGAGCGACAGAGCCAACGAAGCAATTCTAGCGCAAAGCTGAAAACCACCCCAAGCCAGCCCACAGCAGCCGAGAGAGGAGCAGCGCCGCAACGCAAGAGATAATCGACGATCGGCTCAGCGTTCGGCAGCTAAGCTACAAAGTGGTCGAGGGCCGGGCAGAATTACCGGCAGAGGCCGGATCAAGCGGCTTGGCACGCGTCAAAAAAAAGATGCGAGCGGGGAGTCAAAAAATGGTGTCAGAAGCGAGCAGTTCAGTTCCAGAGCAGGGTCCAGATCTAGTGCGATCGCCGTGACCCCCGCCCCCAGGATTTGTGCCAACGACAACAACACAGGACCCAGCCAACGACACCGACGGAATCCTGCCCGCTGAAGATTTCCACAACACGGAGGCCACCGAGAATCAGCGGAATAGCACCAAACCAGGCGAAAAGAGGACGGGTAAGCCGGCTCACTTACGTGGGTGTGTAGGGAGAGAAAGAGACGGTGCGATAGTTAGGGACCCAACTACGGATATAATAAAGAATATATATAAAACGCTCTTGGTTATTGTATCAGCTGCCACCAAACTGTACCCTTCCATCTCTCCACCACTATCCTTGGGGTGACGGGCCATAGCATCGGTACGCGGTCAACGCACGGTGACTGTGGTCCGCCCCTCCCCCTTCCCCGTAGAAAACCATGCCTTTTTCCCCCCGGAGGACCAGTTGAAAGGTGTGTACGCGGGCACGCACGGCACCCACGAAACTGGATTCCCCATTCCCCCCCGAGCATTTCCTTCCCGTGCCTGGCTGTAAGGGCCCCGTTCTGGTCCCACGCGCGGAGCGCCGCACTTTTCCCTCGCCACTCATTCCAATCTCTAGGTCCCAAAAATACAAATAGGCTGTATTAGGATCGGGCCCTGGACAGACTTAGAGGCTGTACCCCGGCCTGAGAAAACATCCTTACACCACTAGTAGGTCATACAGAAATATCTGTGCCGCGATGGTCCTACGATCCTCGAGAGAGGAGAGGTGCACAAGGCGACATCAACGATCATACGACGGCAAGGGGAGAGAAAAGTGCAAGGGTTGGAGTGCAAACTTCATAAACTTTTCTTTGCAGTCTCTCGATACGTGAAATTTGCAGTGCCCCTGTCGGGTTCCAAACAACGGAAGCGTACTCGAACCGCGAGCGTACAAGGAACGACTACAGACATAGCCGCGTGTATGGGTTTCTGAACTGGGATGCATTGCGCTTAACAAAGTTGAACATAGCGTAGGCTTTTGGCAGAATAAAATGCAAATGCTCGACAAACAGAAATTTTAAGTCGAACAAGACCTCTAGGTCAAGTATCTCCGTCTGTTTTCTATTGAAAATGAGGCCAGCACTTTAAAGACAAACTTGCTAAAAGAGACAGAATAACATTTGCTAATGTTGAGAAGAAGCGCGTTAAGTCTGCACCAACGAGCAGATCTCGCTGAAGCAGAATACTGTCGCCTACGGTTTTGACAGCACGGAAAATTTTTAAATCATCAGCAAAGAGCAGATACTCAGAATTTTGGATGCTGAGACATACATATAGCCACATATTGGTCCGAATGCTTTCCATTTATCAACACCACATACTCCCGTCTCTCAAGATATGAACTGAACCAAACGAGGAATGAATTCCTAGTTGATATAACTTGGCTATAAGGGCACTGTGAGAAACTTTATCAAAGGCCTTGGCAAAGGCAGTATACACAGCGTCAGCTTGAGTGCGCAACTCAAAGGCATGAGTGCAAAAGTTACTGAAAGCGACCAGATTAGTGGTCGTGAATCTACCCGCCATAAACCCGTGTTGATTTGGGCTGATTTACAACTTCATGAGGAAACTGATCTTTTTGGCAAGAGACCTTGTGAAGAATATTTTGAGAGGATCACAAAAAACAACAACACAGTTGCGAAGAAGGAAGGAAGAAATGCCATCACTGTCGGGCTTATTGGAATTATCGAAATCGGCAATAGCCTCCAAGATTTCAGCGTCAGATATAGCCAGTGCACCAATATTGACAACCGAAGGGATAGAATTTAGAGTACCTAAGTCATTCCAAACTGCATAAGGTTTAAAATTTGATCTGAAAAAAGAAGCAAACAAGTTAGCTATGCCACCATCAGTATTTGCGAGCTCGTCGATCTTTAGGAACCTACGAAGCGCCAAAACGACTTGGGATTGACTTTAAGTCCCCTCTCAACGTCAGAAATGTACTGATTATATAACAATTTACCCAGAAAGGTAACTTCGATGCGAGAGAACAGAAGCTCAGTTTATGTTTCACATTTCATCAGAAAATCATCCCGCCCAGGGCGAATACCGATGGAATATAGCCGAAACTACCAAGGGCATATGATGCATGTCGCATTCTGCAATAAGCAGTTCGCAAAATGTAATACAGAAATCGATATCCGAACTTATAAAATCTAAGTCTAGAATCTAATTTAACCTATTGAGTACATTATTTACTTGGGATAAGCCCATACTAAAGCAGTCATCTATAAAAAGAATTTCTTGCGGCATGTGCACATTGCTCGGCATCATAGCCGACGATTGAGGATCAACGCAGAGCTGCTGACGGTCTCGAAGATTGTTATAAACGTTAATAATATTATGTGTGTGCGCTTTGTAGATTTCATACCCACTATTAGGTGGGATATACGACGCGCAGACGTATAGTGTCTCCGACTGATCGGCTTCCACAGCGCAGGGTGCGTCTTACGGCCACAACGACCCCACCTCCTCTGCAGCGCTTCGTTTTGGACCAGTCTCTGTCTCTGTCTTACGAAACACCTCGAAATAATTGTGATCGAAATACTCGTTGTCGAAGAAATTTGAGTTGAGCCAAGTTTCAACCAAAATGATGATATCGAAATCACACGTAGAGGTTGCCAAATAGACAGCCTGGGCCTTGGTGCGCATACCAGCTATATTTTGGAAATATATGCGTAGGGATTCAGCACCGTCCATCGGCAGGTTCGAAGAAAGTGGGCGTGCCCATTGCTCAGACGGCAAGGTAGATGATTAATTTATGGAGAATCGGAAATCGCAATATTCTCTTGGCGTTATCGAGTTTATTGGTCCTGTCTGTCTCTGTAGTGATTCAAGCAAAAATGCATATGCAAAAACTTTGCCTGCAGCAGACTGGTTGGGACTAGTTCATCTCCATAGGATTAGGCACGGACTGGGAAGTGTTCAAGCCAATGCTGCAGTATCTAGTGTCACTTCAATTCAAATTCGAAAGAAATCTGCAGAAGTTTATTAGGCCTTTATCCTTCTTACATCCAAGCCGAGAGTAGTAACTTAGCTCAGCTGTCATTGGGCCCCTGCTTCCAGAGAAATCTGAAATCCAAGAATGGACAAGGGGTGCATTCTGGCGATATATGACATAAAGCCAAGCCCTGCAGATCTAGTTTCTCTTGTTTTTGACCTCCCAACTCCAGCCGTGTTGATCTGATTTGTTGAGAATGAGATTGCGCCAGTAAAGTTCGGATAAGCTTTGGTCGAAATACCGTGTCGACGAAAATTACTCAAATTCCCCACGCGCCAATAAATTTAACTGAGGATTTTAAATTTTTTATTTTTGAATCGAATCAAACTTAAATCTGTATTAATATCCGTGTTTTTTGTTGTTTGTAGGTATGTAGACCTATTTCGGACACTGTACTAGGCTACAGTGGAATTTATATTTTAGTTCAAATAATATTGTCCAATCAAAAGTGAAATAATATATTAATATTGAACTGATAAAGGAATTTCAAAATTTTTCTAAATTTTCAAACGTCATTTTATTTTGATATTGTACGATAATACAATTTTTACGATAAAAAATCCATTTCGTACGTATGTAAATACATTTTTATGTATGCACAAATTGCCTAAATTACATACATATGTACATACAAATGTTAAAGTTATGCATAGAGTGAAAATGTGTAAAATGTTATAACTATAAATGTATACATATGTACATACAATGCTAAATGTATCCACTTCAAAAACTAAAATGTTGAGAAGCTCAAAAAAAATTAAGCGCAGAATAAACATAAGTAAATCTTGCATATCTGGTGCTAGGCGATAGTGAAAAATTATGAGTAACGCCACCACCCAAAATTACCACCCATGTGCAGATAATCGATATTCTAGTCAAACTAACTGCTTGTAGTGTCTACCTCGTGAACAGTACAAATGTATCTTATTAAGTAAAATATATATCAATATATTTACATATATGTATAGATATGGTTGGATGTGTACATTCATATATAAAAATGAGTGTATTTTAACGTCACCTCATCGCTGATTTTAGTCTAAATTCATTGCAGACTGTGTGGTAGGCTTGAAACTTATTTAATACCTTTCTGTGTTGCTGAATTTATGTATGTACATGCATATGTACATACATACATATGTGCATATGTGTTTGTACTTTTGGATACTATTTGTGAGGCTACATTCAGCGCTTTGCAATGTTCGATGGTAAAATTGGAAAATTAACAATGCATCTTGTTCGTAGTAACTTTTGCCAACGTGATGAGTATTTGAGATCGCCTTCAAAAAATATTGGAGTCCAACTAACGAATTCCCATACGTCGTACAGGAACGATCATACCAACATGAAAGAGGCACAAGCTGAAATAAATATAAATAATACATCGGTTAAACATAACCAAAATGTAACATTTGTCCGGAGTAGTGGAATCACTAATGGAGCTGTTTTTCATGAGGATGTTATTGAAACTGAGTGGAATTTCCCTCCAAAAGTACCTACTCCGCACATCTACCATTGCATTAATCCAGTAAGTTAGAAAATTCAGTAAATCTAGTTTCGGTGAACCGAAGATCATATAACTTTGAAGAATTTTGTATCTGTTAGATAGAATACCTTATAAATATGTACATACATATTTTCCGATTGTTTTTTTTTGGCGGATATTCAAAGAGGGATTCTGACCAAATTTGTATATGTATCAAATAACCATGATTTAAAAATATTTTGAAACTTCGCACGATGTGGATGTCTCGATGTAAAAATTTGGGTCTAATGACAAAAATGCTTAGCCTCATCGCAACGAATATTCGTCTGGAATGTTCTTTTCGATGCAAAGATTGCTTGATCAAAGTTTAAAACTCACAGAAGGAGTTTCTTGGTTAGGATGACAGAGATTGGTTAAAATAAAATATATTATAAAATCATTAATAATTGTCTTATTAAGTTGACAAAAATTAACTCCCAGTAAGAAACATTATAATAATAAAATATTTTTGGTACCAATATTTTTAATTCGAATATGTGCATGCTTAGCTCTTTTAGTTCAGTTTAGGTCTAATTTTCCTCGAAATTAGTCTATATATCCTTCCTGCATGTACGCGACCGGTTCGGTTGCTCGGTTCATCACGCTTCATCGCCCTTTGGTCGGTTGCCTATGATCTGACTGGGCTTGCTGGCGCATGGGACCCTTGATGGTGCAGTCATTGCATATCAACGTTCTATGTAAATGTCGCGGGGTGATAGCTTCTAGAAAATCTCTCTCTCCCTCTCTTTAGTAGTGCGGCTTAGTAATAAAGTGGACGGTTTCATGAACATGTATGCATGTACAGAAAAAAACTGTGATTTAATTGCAACTTTTCCATTTCATAATGTTCATGCGAAACATGCTAAACCATCTCTCTCACGTTTGTTCTGCCAGTGTAGATTACACTAGTCAACACGATTTTTCCTCAAGGAACAAAACGAACTTTTTCTTAAAGATTTGGGGCTTAGAAATGGTTTGATGATATATATTTTTTTTCTATGGCAGAACTTTTTTTTGAAGAATTTTTGAAAACTGGTATGGTATGGGCAGTTGAGCTCGCAACGTTCCAAAAGGTATTTTTTGTTAATTTTTTCCATATTTTAGGTTTAGTTACCGAATTTTAGCTCAAAAGTCTCTCCATAGATTTTAATGAGCGATGAACGACGCCAAATTAATGCACCTATACACAAAAAAATAGAGGACACAGGATATACTTTTTTTTCGACTTTTTCTGAGTTTTTAAAGTCAAAATTTCGTAAAAAATACCGCACAAAAATCATCATTTTTGCATTTCAATTCTTTATATTTCCCAGACGGTAAGCTGTAATCACAAAGTGTTTGGGCTTAACTTCTAGCTGTTTTAATTATCTTTTCAAAATACAACCAGACGTAAGATACTAGAGCTATGTGAAAAAAACAAGCGCTACCTCTGAAAAAAGCTTAAAAAAAAATACCAGACTTCAAAAATTCTTTAAAAAAAAGTTCTGCCATAGAAAAAAAATTCTTTAAAAAATGTTGAATCCCCATATCTATCAGAAAATGTCGGTTTGGATCCTTCAGGAAAAAAAAAGTTCGATTTTGTCGAGTAGTGTTATCAGCCAGAAAGAGAAATAGAAAATTTTTTGAGAGAAAATCAGATCAAATATATTTGTTTTTGGCGACTTTAATATAGGGCGCTGAACAGTTTGGGGTCCATTAGAGCTTCACTCGAACCATCATATGTAGTTGTACATTTCTTAGGGAAAGTGCTTCAACAACAAACAGGCAGTTAAAGTGGACAAATATTATCATTATTGTAGCCACAATTAAGAATATAAGTTTCCTAGCGATTTCTTACTGTCCACCCTTCGATCACTGCTCATGATATATGAATTTTGAGATCATGATCAGTGATAAGTCGCAAGTTAATCTAAAACAATATAAAGGAGCAAGTTTACAGATTAGATGACCATCTCTTATATCGGATATGCTTCCTTGTGTGAACTTGAAACAACTGGTCTAAATCATAGAAAAATTTAAAAATGTCGCAGAAAGTGGCAACCGAGATGAACATTTGATATAACTTTAAATGCAGGCTTAGTTTTTGCCACCGTTACCGTTGGCAATCGAAATTGAAAACTTCCTTAAACGTATCGGACATGTGTACTTTAAATGTATCTTTATTTTTTCAGGATTTACTGGTGGGAAGTGATAAAAACGGCTTTAAAGGACTTCGTAAGCAATTTAGTGGGCGATTTAAGCGCTTAGTTACTCGAAAAGTAGAACACGGCCCAGTGATACCTCCGGAATTAAAGCCACAATTAAAAACAATATACGTTTACTAATTTTAGAAGAATCACCGATGGCAAGCACAAATGTTTGAATAAACTATATGTACGCATATACAATATGTATGTATAGATGTACTCGTATGTATTTTTATATATTTTGGAAAACTTTAGTGATAATAAAAGCAAGATAAACTAAGCTACCATGTGAATCTACATTTTAAAGTATTAAATTAATCATGCTTAATGTGTATACTTTTCGTATATTTTATGATACTTCTCACATTTTCCAAAGCATTTTAGATTTAATAAAAAGAATAAAGTTAAATTCAAACAAAGCACTTTTAATTCATATCTACATTACCAGCTGCGATTCCTAGTGAATTTGGAGGTGCGGTTCATATGCGATAATGAATCCCAGTCAACTAATGTGTATGCTTTGAGTTTGAAAGTTTGTTTGGTAATAAAATAAAAATCATTCGTAATTAATTGAACTTACGAAATTTAAGTTAAATAGCAGACAAAATATATTTTTTAAATCAATCTTTAAGTTTTGTAAGCCGAGTAGAAAGGTACGTACAAAGCGAATGTACAGTACTGCAACAGTGAAGGAGATATACTGGTGTTGTTTGGCAGATGTTTCGATGGGCATGGAAGATATATATAAGGAGCCTATATAAGACGACAGCGGCCCAGGGTAAAATTGTAACGTTTAATTTTTTTATGGGCGTGTTAGTTTAGTGTGCAAGTAATAATTTTAATAATTGGATCACCGGTATAGGTAGTAACATGGTTTATATTTGATAAGCGGTAAGTTGATTACAAGATATATGTTACGAACCTTTTTAATGGTGAGGCAAGGCCGGCTAGCCAGTTATCTCAGGGCTGGGTGTTTCCCAAGCCCTCAGGTGGCACAATAAAACCAACTAATTGGAAATCTCAAACAAAACGACAATTCAAAACAAATGGACTCTACTCAACAAACTAACGAACACACTCCTCTTCGACAGAGCCGTGGACCAGCTGAGTCTCTAACGTCCCCGCCCTACCTAAGATCTGGATCTGGACATTCCAGATCTCCCTGCCATGTGCACCGGCCTTTCTACCAACTCGCCGTTGTGGTTTCCCTTTCCCACATACAAAACTACTAGCAATTCATTTCTTCGTTATAATTCTTGTTCATATTCCCATATCGTATCGGTGGTGCGTCCGCCTATTCCCGCACCTTAGCTTAATACAATGGGGTAGATATTATAATTAAATAAATAGGATTAAAAAAATACATATTATTAACTACATTTGGGTAAGTACTATGGACGGCCTGACGAAAACGGACAGAGAATAAGTGCACAAGTATAGGGACAGCTAACAAAAATTTAAATAGACAATTTTTCTTTCTTTAAATCTATTCTTTGGCTTTTTTTAAATAGGCTTGGGGCGCCGTGGAGAGCTCCCTCCTGGGCAGGGCGCGTGACCAGGATCCCGTGGGCCGGGAGATTTGAAGAGAATTCCCTATGGATTTTAAATAAATAATAAGCTTTGGGTTTTCCCCCTTTTGGAGCAGACTCACTTCTATTGTTTCGGGAGCTCCTGGGTCTTCCCAGGGCTAGATCTTTCCTTTTGGGGGTGTGGGTGAGCTGTGTCCGGGATCCCGCTATAGATTCGATTCGCTCTCCAGCTAGATATTCTCTCTCAAACTCCCGGACGCGGAGAATTATAGGCAAACATCGAAGGATTTTTCGGCTTACATCCACTCTTCTGAGAGTTTATACGTGAGTGCGTTTCCCTTCTTACTATAACGGTCTTCATTTGTTCTCTACAATTTCAGGTCATTCGCGTGAAAAATCATCAGCGGCCTCCCCAACAGAGCCTGGCTCCGCTCAAATGCTTGGTGTATATTATTTTTTATATGCTTGCGAATGTTTTGACGCTTATCAGTGGGATCTAATGTGTACACCCCGTGCTCTGTCAACGACTGCAACTTCCTCGCCAGATTGTAGCAGTTTCCATTCAGGAACATTTGCTGTCCAAAAACTGCAAAGGACGGCGTTATGCCTGTCTCTTCGTGCACTGAGATCTCTGGTAAGTACATATCCCAGTCCCAGTTCTTATCGCGGCCAGTAAGGTCCGGTTGACCCTCTCGGCTGCATTGCTTTGCGGCGAGTATACTGCTGTGCGCATGTGTCGGATGCCGAATGTACCGACTATGTCCTGGAACACCTTGGAGATGAATTGCTTCCCGTTGTCTGAATGGATCACCTCTGGCACACCGAATTAATAGAACACCTCCTGCACTAGGAACTGAAGTACGTTCACCGCGGTGGCCTCTCTCATCCAGGCCTGTCCCCTTTTCGACCTGGGAGACTTCCCAAGGAAATCTATGTATATTTTCTGGAATGGCCTCTCCGTAAGTACTTGCTGACTGATTTCTACCTGGATGCGATAATTAAGTGCTTTGGGCTCCTTACATGTGTCGCAGTTTCGGACATATCCCCGCACTTGTGTCCTCATCGCTGGCCAGTAATAATGCCTTTTTAAGCGATGCATAATGCATAACTTCCAAATGGAACCTTCCACTAGGCCGTCAATTTGCGTGAAAGCCATTCGTTTGAAGATCAGGTCCTCTTCTACCCGCAGAACGGGCAATAGTTCTTTGTTTTTGCTGACTTCTTCCCTCATCTCCTATAATCGTCCGCTTGGAATTCCGTCGTATCGAATCCGAATCGATGCTGGAACAGTACTGCTCGCACTCCATAATTTGATGCGTCACATTGGATACAGAAAGGACGTCTGAAGTCGGCATTAACCAGTACCGGAGCCGATGTGAGCGCCTTCTTCAGAGATTCTATGAATCCTTGATGAAGCGCCTGAAACATCCTGCGATTCCTAGGAAACTTCGTTACTCCTTCACGGAATTCCGATTGGGAATCTTCTGGATGGCCAAAATCCTCTCCGGATCCATCTGTAGCGGATTTTAGGGACCTGTAGCAGAATTTGCACTTTTTTAATCCTATCGTCAAATTTACTCTTTTCAGGCACTGTGCTACCAATCGTAAATACCAAAGATGTGTCTGGAAATCCGGGTTTATCACTAGGAGGTCATCCAAAAAAACAAAAACGTTTGATCTGAGCTGAGAAGGGATCACCTTGTCCATGACCCGACACAACGTCTGGGCAGCCTTACACAAACCGAAAGGCATCATTACAAACTGATACAGTGGACGCCCAGCCACGGTAAATGCAGTACACTTCCGTTTTTCTGGATCCAGTTTAATTTGCCAGAACGCGATTTTGAGGTCGACACTCGAGCATCGAAGGGATACTGTCCAGAATTGAACTATTACGTCTGGTCAATTCTGGACAGTATCCCTTCGATGCTCGGAAGAGGGTAAGCATCTTTCACGGTAAGTTGATTTAGCTTTCGGGCGTCCAAACAGAATCGTTTTTTGTTTGGTTTCCAAACCAACGTCGACCGATTGCTCCATGGACTATCGCTATCTTCAATAACTCCTAACTCTAGCATTTTGTCCACCTCGGCCCAGACCACTTCCTGTATCGCTGGAGATTTAGGATAGTGTCGATCCTTGAAGGGTTTAGCGCCCTCTACCAACTGGATCCGATGCTTCTTTACCGTCGTTATTCATACCTTCAGAACCTCTTCCTTCTCCACTAACAGTTGCAACTCTGGCTCTATCTTCTCCACTCGCTTTCCGGATGAATGAAACTTCGGCGCCGAGCGATAAGCTGACTTCTGCTCCCGTCTGCGAAAGTGGTGCTCCACCTCCAAGCACTCTTCTCTCAAGATTCCGGACTCGGATTGCGTAAACATACCGAGTGATCTCATTATCGAGTCCATTTTTTCTCGACGGATCGCTCTAAAATATTCCTCCACAGATTCTCCAGATTTCTGTCGGCGCTCGTGCAAAGCGCGTAGCCGCTCAAAATCGCCACCTACGGCTCGGAACCTTGTCACCAACTCGTCTTTCAAGTCTTCCTATACGTTTGGAGGGCGCTCGCGGATAAATTGCCAATTCCATTCGGCTGCCTGTCCTTTGACAAGATGGTAGAAATTATCCAGGACTTCATCCCACGATCGTTCTGCCTACGTAGGAACTCGACCCGGAAGACGAAATCTTCCACCGTCATCTTGTTCGGATCTGGATCACCGTAGAAGTGGATGTCCCACTTGTCCACACGTCCCATCTGGAGCCTCTCCAATCATCTCTCCTTTCCTCTGGGGATGTGAACCTCCGACTTGATGGCTAGCGATTCTGCCTTCCAGCGCTTGGAACTGGTTCCTCGATATCCATTCTCCGGAACCAGTGTTGGCTCAACTTCTCCGGCTTCCTTGGAGGCTGCGAGGGATTCTGGACAACATCGTCCCTGGACAGTTTGGGCCTGATCCCGGTACTTGCCCTCTGCGTGTACTCTTCTGGACATTGTTGATAGCCGCCATCATGTATATTGGCAACACCTCCGGTCTGGCCTCTTCCTGATCCCATCTCCTGGATCATCTCCACGTTCTGGCCCAGGGGCGTCATTGCCTCTGCTATGGCACCCATCAGCTCCATAAAGCCGCGACGTATCTCCTCTTGCAGCGTCCTGCTGATGGTGTCTGCCATGGCTCCTCTCTGCGTCTCCTGAGCTTGCGCAATGACGACATTTATCCCAGAGACTATTTTTGAGGGCAGTGCTCTCGGATTTCCTGGCAAGTTCCAGCTGTCCTCTTTACCTCTCAGCGCCCTGGGTATCGCCGCCTTACATCTGCTCTCTGAGGTTTCCTGGCGGAGGAGTCCTGCGGATCATTTTCGGCTTGCTCTTTAACCCCACTCTTCCTAACTACCACAAACTTCCAAAATATACTTCTAAACAATGTTTTTCTCTATATTTTTTTTCCACAGAACAAAATCGTATATCACCTCCCGACTGATCTTCAACGCAATATACAAACAAAAATAATAAAGGGGGAAAGGAACGTTTTTTACGGGGTATTGTAGCTCCTCCGAGTGCTACGCGTGGCCGACTCTTGTCCCCACGGGCCACTGAGAACAAAAATCTCTTCGATACTACCCTCTCGATCCCATTCAGAGGTAAGTAGGGGAAGCAACACGAACATCCTTCTGCCTTCATCTAACTCCAGGAATTCTTTTTTCCAGGCTCTCACTTTTCGCACACCAGGAATCGGGATGGGTGCTAACTGGCGTCAGGATTCTCCTTTGCCAGTGCCACCCCAAGTCACCAACTTTGAGATCCTGCTTCCCGTTGTCAGATAAGTGAGAAAAAAAACAGAAAAAAACCGAAGAAAAATTTACTTTGGGGATTATTTGCATCTCTAGATCCCTCAGCGCCGTGCTTCTGCAAGCCAACTTATACCGCCACCGGAACTCCGACGGACCAGACTGCAATATACCACTCATGATCGTTCCTGTCAGCTGGACATGTATACTTTTCTCGACCTGCGTATGATTCACATCCGTACTCTCCCACATTTGTGGGCGAGCAAGGACTGCGAATCCAACTTCTGTCTCAGGTTGGGCGCCATTATTGTTACGAACCTTTGGCTGGGTGTTTACCAAGCTCTCAGGTCGAAAACAAAACCAACAAATTGGAAATCTCAAACAAAACGACAATTCAAAACAAATGGACTCTACTCAACAAAATAACGAACACACTCCTCTTCGACAGAGCCGTGGACCAGCTGAGTCTCTAACATCCCCGCCCTACCTGAGATCTGGATCTGGACATTCCAGATCTCCCTGCCATGTGCAGCAGCCTTTCTACCAACTCGCCGTTGTGGGTCCCCTCTCCCTCATACGAAACAACTAGCAATTGATTTCTTCGTTATAATTCTTCCGCCTCTTAGCTTAATACAATGGGGTAGATATTATATAATTAAATAAATAAATAGGATTAAATAAATAAATAGGATTAAATAAATAAATAGTATTAAATAAATAAATAGGATTAAATAAATAAGGTATAAATATTATTAGCTATTGTGAAGGGCAACACCCTTCTCAACCACCGTCACCTACCTCAACCCCCCCACCAATCTCAACCTCACACCCCCTCGACGCGAAACGGAGGCTACATCATATTTTATATTCTAGCATTTATCAGGGGTGCCACAGAAATCACTTCCGCTGGAAAATCACCTTAATTCCATTCCGCAGTGAAACACACCGATTTTTCAGCGAATCAAAATCGCTCACAATTTATCCAGCGACTTGATTAAATATACCCATAAAACACACCCAAAACGATTCGAATCACACTTTCCCATAAAGGCTGTTCAATTGGTGATTAACCCTTATGCAAATAATTTAACATTATACATGTTAAGCTAATAAAATAAGCATTTTAGTAAATCACTATCCAATCCGCTGACTGAATTTTCACTTAACGATTCCGCTCTCAATCCGCTGCAGTGCGAGGTGGCCACCTAGTGCGATTCGGACTTTCGAAGTTAAAACAGGAATGCCACCTTTTTTAAGTGGAATTCGGAGCAATATATTTAATATCAATTATATTGAAAGCATGCATTCTGTTGTTCTTTAATTAAGCATTAAAAAAAGCTCATTGCATTCCTTTACGTCAAACGTGTGCATACTTTTTGTGCAAATTGTGAGAACATTTGTAGTCATTTGTAGTTTTACCAGGTGGCATCGCTTCAAATTGTCAAAACAGAACTAACAAAACATTTCTACACATTATTGCCATTGCATTTTTGTCAAAAACCGCTGTTCGGCTAAGTGCAGACTCATGGCAGCACAAATAGAAGCATAGCGATAATTTTTCCAAAAACTGGTAATTTAAATGAACTAAATTAGAAGTAGTTTGAGAAGACAATCACAAAAACTACATACGTATCGTCTGAACGTGAAAACGAGTCCGATGCGCATCTGAGAAGCCTGCGCTGCAAGATTTGTATTCTAATATGTTGCCTCCGTAGTTCTTCGATGGCCAACAGTGTCGGTAAAAGCATTTTAATTAAGTTTACCGTAAGTTTTTTTAAAGCTGATTGCTGCCATGCACGAAGAGTTGCCAGACAACTGCTAGAGTTGCTGAGTACATTGTTTTGTTTGACTCGCACGATATGGTATGTTTTTTTGCTTTGAAATTATAAAAGTACAGCTTTGAAAAATAAATTATTTTGTATCATAAAAGGAAAAAAATGAAAAACCAATTGTTTTAATATGATCAAATCAATAAAACTGAAAAATGAACCCTATTCGAATTGAATCTTAAAAGGTGTCAAGGAAAAAAATGAAAAACCAATTGTTTTAATATGATCAAATCAATAAAACTGAAAAATGAACCCTATTCGAATTGAATCTTAAAAGGTGTCAACCCTTAGTTCGAATTTGGTTTGTGACAATGCTAAGAAAATTTTAATTTTGAAGCGGATATCCTCTGCGCGGTTTCCCATTTCACTAGTGATTTCTGTGGCACCCCTGTATATTTCTTTACTATTAGTTTAATATTTTTATTTTTCTTATAATTTCCTCTTATAATTTGATTATTATTATTAGTCCTAAGCCATCATAAGTAATGTAAGATACCTTATTTCAGCCTGTCCAGGGTCCTCAGGGTCCGTTCGGCACTGCGGCACTACTTCTTCGCGACCGGATATTGTGTGGGCGAGAGTTTGGTGCTTGACGGGTATTGGTCCTCGCTAGCCCAGTTTCTTTCGGTGGCCGTAGGTCTTTAGTCCACCAAGACCCGATATACCTGATATACTGCCTAGTGTGGTAGACTTCCTAGTGCAGTATCTTGCGTTCGGGCTGACGGACTGCCTGCTTCTTTGGCCGAACTTGGGCTTTTTAAGCAGCTGGCGATCGCACCTGAGACAGAGATTTTCCACGAGGTGTCTTTCAGCTGGAAATAATTATTGCTAACTTATGATTATTCGGCAACAATAATTGTGGGGTGGAGTAAGTAGGGCGAAGCTTGGTGCTTCGTTGACAATTGGATAGTGGGTCAGGGGAGTTGAGGAAGTGTTTTGCTGCGACTGCATTGGGCAGGTGCTGGCTGCAGTTGAGGATTGGGTTTTTTACTGAATCTGCATCGCGGAAGGTGATAGCTGAATTTTGGGCCGGTAGGTCGATAATTTTATGGTGGCTTGACTTATTGTCAAATAACGCAAATGATATTTCTTATGTAAGTCGTCGATTGCGAAATGTCGCAAGAGGTGGGGTGTTTTAAATTGGTGTGTGGACAAGAATGTGTAGAGATGTTGATCGAGAGTTCTTAATTAATAGTGTGCGTTGCTTAAGACTATTTTGTTTTCCGGAGGTGCTGACACGCCGCTACTTGTGGAGAACCGTGGCTAGAGCCATGGTTCGTTGGCTCTGTGTATATTAGTATGATTATTGTCTCCAACCAGCGTGGATGCGCTGACGCTCTGCTGTTTGTGACGAGCCATGGCTAGAGCAATGTTTCGTTACAGTAAATAGCCATTTTAATTCAAATATAGCTCCTAGCCTTCTTTGTGAGACCGTAGGGCAAGAAAGGCAACATAGGCATTAATGGTGATTAGAACCAGCACCGTCACCAGAACCTTCACCGGAACCAGCGCCGGAGCCACCACCGCGAGCGAAGGTAACATACATGTAAACAAAGAGAGCAAGGGACGGATCTAACCGAAGAGAAATAGAGCCAGAGCCGAACCGAAGCGAAAGAGATCAAAAACACCAAGCTCGGACCGCTTCAGCACGCTGCTCATGCCGTAGCGCAAGTGCACGCAAAAATGAGTAGAGGAGAGACACACTGACTCCAAGCCGCAAGCGCGACCGGCGGAACTGCAATAAACACCCACCCACCCACGGAGCCGAGCGCGGACCGCTGCAGCGCGCTGTTAACGGCGTAGGGCAACCGAACGCAACGACGAGCAGGGGGGAGATGTACCGCCTCCCGGGCGAAAGAACAGTAAGAGCCAAGAAAAGCCGAAGTGCCAGGAGAGGCTAGCGGCAGAGGAAGGCGCCAAGGAAGAACGCGCTAAAGAGATTATCGGGACAGACTCTCGAACGCGCAGGTCGCAAGCGGAAAACAATTAAACGGTGAAAGTGGAAGGAGAAGAAAAGGAAGCAACGAGGAGCCAACGCGAGGAGAACAGGAGCGGAACCGAAGAAAAGAAAGATGTACACGGCGCAGGAGGAAGAAGAGGGGTTAGCTGGTCTCACGTAGGTGAGAAAGAGAAAAGAGATAGGTGCGATATTGGGGAAGTTGAGACACACACACACACACTCAGCCGTAGTCCGCTATCTTCCCGTCCCCTCCCTCGCATGTTAGGGGAGCCAGCCAGTGGTGTCATACGCGGATGCCACGGCATCCACGATCTGGTCCCTCCTTCATCCCGGGGACGCCAGCTAAGTGAGACGGTACGCGTATGCCACTGTCTTCACGAACCGGGCTCTTTCCCCCTCCTCTAGCCTATCCTCCTCCATACCCAGTTACAGTCAGCCCCTCGTTCCCTGTCCCCGCATCAAAGCGCTGCAAGGCGTCCCACTCCCGCGGTGTCTACGTCCCACGGGGCGTGCCATATGCCCAAATCGACCACGTGGTCTTCCACCGCTACCCATAACTCTGCGCCAGCGCCGCCTCAAGTCACGCCCCAAGTTGCTGTATTGAAGGTCGGGCCCTGGACACACTGAGAAGCTGTTTCTTGGCTGGGAAACTTCCTTACACTAGATATGGCTAAGTACGGATAAACAAATATGGACGGCCGGACGAAAACGGACAAAGAATAAGTGCACAGGTATAGGGACGCTTACAAAAATGTATATATACAATTTTCTTTCTTTAAATTTATTCTTTGGCTGTTTTTAAATAGGTTTGGGGCGCCGTGGAGAGCTCCCTCCTGGGCAGGGCGAGTGACCAAGATCCCGTGGGCCGGAAGATTTGAAGAGAATTCCCTATGGATTTCATAAAAAATAATAAGCTTCGGGTTTTCCCCCTTTTGGAGCAGACTCACTTCTATTGTTTCGGGAGCTCCTAGGTTTTCCCGCTGGTCAGCTCGAAATCCTTCATTTTCTCTCTTCCTGAATTAGATGTTCTGGAATCACAAAACCTTTGAGTGATGGCCACGATTCCATCCTCCATCCTCCTCCATCCAACCAGGTTGAAGGGCATGGCCTTATTCTGTCTGGTTGCCGCTCTATTTCGGCCTTGCCACCCTGTTCAGAAACCCTTCCCCTTCCTCGATTCTTTGGTATTTTGCCAATCGATATTTTTCGAATGCAACATATACGAATTGCATTTCTAGTACTTGACTTATTAGTTTAGCGCGATTATATTTATGTCACTGCTGCGCCGCTGGCTACTAATAGTTTAATTTGCCTGGCGCGGCTCGGGCAAATGAAGCATTACTCTCACGTTTGCTACTGGAAAAATGGTTATTTTTTTACAAATGAACTTAGGTTAAGGTAACTCTATTATAAAAAGTATTAATTATCTATTTACTAGTGCCCTCACACTGGCATCGTTCATTAGTTGGGTTACGCTGATATAGTAATTGTTTGTAGGAGGGTGGATGTGGTCGAGTCGGCGTAGATTCCCAAGACAAGGATTCCCAATAAAAGTCGGAAGATGTGGTGCTTCAAGTTGATCGTTCGTATATATTGTTAGATGTATATGTACGCGGAGCGTGTAGACTTTGTCGAAGTGGAAAAAGACACTGACTCTCTCTCGTTTAGGTACAGCCCGGCATACGGCTAGCGCCCGTGATGGAGAGCCGTGGATCGCATTCAAGCAGCGCGAGAGCGAAGGACACGGGAGAGCGCACGACCTAACGGAGCGATGTTAATGGCATTAACAGCGTTGCTGCCCTAAACATCCTCCCCCCCTTGCAGAACTGCAACGTCCCGTCCTTGGGCTGCATACAGGCCCCGGACACAATCGGGG